CCAATTCCTTTATAAATATATTTAAAAATACGATTTTGAAAAATTCGCCATTTTATATTTTTAAGATCGAGCATACGCGTTGTTTGTTTTTGATTTCGTTGACTACTACATTCATAGTAGGACATTTATAAAAAATCTTGAAAAAAGGGCACCAAATTTATTCATTAAAAAAAAATTTTTGGGGAATTTGAATTAAATAAATTCGATTTTTGTGATCCAATACGAAGATTTCAAATTGTTTTCAGGTTATGAATTATTTTTTAATCGAATTTAAGGCAGATCGTTAAACTCATTTGATCGTTCTGATAAGAAAAAAGAATTTGAATTTATTGGTTAGGAAATCAAATTCAACATGGAAACCAGCATCAAAGTGCCTTGAGGATGTTTTATATGGGTCAAGAATTTATAAAAATGAAGACCCTATGAATGGCAACAGATTTTCTGCACCATGCCACACAAAGGAGAACCCAATCATAGCTGTATATTAAATTTTAAAACAACATTACCAATATTAAATATTTAAAAATTTGTTTAACTCCTAAAATGCAATCCCTATATATATAAATATGAAATATTTTTATTTCCGCAATATGAATGAGAGACCAAAAAATTTCCTTATTTAAGACCAAAGATGAACTCAAGGCAAGGATTATGGTAGCATTCACCAGCATTCATGTTAAAGACCGTCCAGAAGAAATATATATAGATTATATAAGTCGTATGAATATATATTTAAGCCAATATCAGGTCATCCCATAAGTTCTGTCCGAATTTTGAATAAAGAAAACAAGTGACCAAATGTTACATTTAATTACAGATTCAATCAACAATGTATTTTCCCTGATTATCTATGACTTCCTTCCATCTATTAACAAGCTTACTAATTCCATTACTGTAAAATTTTTTTGGCTTTGATTCGAAGAACTCACAAATGTCAGTTTTAACCTCTTCCTGTGTTACAAAAAGCTGTTTCTTCCAAATGATTCTGTAAGCTACGAAACAAATGGTAGTCTGAAGGAGCAAGATCGGGAGAATAAGGTGGATGAGGAATTTTCTCCCAACCAAGTTCTTCGATCATTTGTGACATGATTCTTGCTGTGTGGGGTCGCGCATTGTCCTGATGAAACATCACTTCTTTTCTATTCACTAGAGCAGGTCTTTTTTTTTCCTCGAAGCTTGGTTCAAACGCTCTAATTGCTGACAGTATATTTGAGCATTAAATGTTGCATTAGGTGGTAAGAATTCAAAGTGAATTATTGCTTGGCGTTCCCACCAATTTGAAAGAAGAACCTTTTGCCCATGAAGTTCCCTCCTTGGGTGTGGCTGGGGTCCTTCCGCTTTACTAAGCCACTTTCTACGACGCTTAATAATTCAATAAAAGATCCATTTTTCGTCGCCAGTCACAAGTCTATCCAAAAAAAGGTGAAACAAGTTGGCGAGAATGGAGAGAAGAGCAGATGTCAACTCGGGATTTGAGGTTGTTTTCAGACAATTCATGAGGCACCCATTTTCCAAGTTTAGGAACTTTTCCAAGTTGTTGAAGATGACGATGAACAGTTGTATGGTTTGAACTGAGAACCACTGCCAATTCCTCAACTGATAAAGCAGGATTTTCTTCAAGGGCTGCTTCAAGAAGCTTTTCATCAAACTCAACTGGACGTCCGGTTCGATCTTCATCTTCAAGGGTGAAATCTCCACCTCTGAATTTTGCAAACCATCTTCTGCAAGTTCTTTCATTCACACATTCCTCTCCATAAACTGAGTGAATGTTTCTAGCCGCTTCGGCTGCTGAGTTTCCTTTCTTGAACTCATAAAAAGCATTATGTGCCTCAAATGATTCTTGGGTACTTCCATGTTAGCAGGGTTTTAATCAAACAAAATTTAATTTTATTGTTCTCTGAAATAAAATTTGATCAGTTTAAATGCATCTAAACATAAAAATAATGTTCAGCTCCATTAGACATTATAAAATACTCTTTAAATTTCGTTCATTTTAACAAAAAGTTAAAATTCGGACAGAACTTATGGGATGACCTGATACAATTCCATTTAGAAGAAACATATTTTTAAAGTCTGAAATATGAAACTTTTGAAGGACGAAATTAAACATTTACAAAATTAGAATGTTTTTTTTATATTTTCATTCAATTAACCATATATATATATATGATATGAGCCACGAAGAATATATGGAATATATTTTCCATTTTCGCGCAGAATTGTCAGAAAATAAATTTTTAAAATCAAATTATATGAGAAGGGAATATACAACATATAAAAACTCAGCAAGTTAGAAAAAAAAAACTTACGAAAGGAGGAATTTTTTCTGAACGCGACCAACCGTCGAAAAAAGGTTGTCCCGGGATAGGCAAAGATATACACGATTTCAATTATAAAACCGGTGGAAGACAGCGCCAGTTTGGCTGGCGTAACCCAGGCGGACATTGACAGATCAAGCATCCGAATGTCCAGTCTCACCAGGTTTGCTAGATCTTGCCTGTCTAATCACCCTTTGGGGTTCACCCCTGAAATAAGGTATGATAAATTTTTTTTAAATTATATGGACAGAAATTTCCAAAAAAAAGAAATTCACGCAAATCATTCGTCAAACTATTTTGATTCACAGCCATATAAGCCAATTTATTGTATTTGGGTGGTTATTTTTTAAAAAAAAGGAATAGGAGGTAGGATATAAAATATAATAATGGATATATATATATATATATATATATATATATATATATATATATATATATATATTGAACAATAAAAAATAAAAAATATTAAAAATGAAAATCTTCAGACAAACTGGGTTGTAGATTAATATTCTTTTTTTTTTTTTTTATTATTATTTCATTTAGATTCTTCGACTAGTTTCGGCCAAAATGGCCATCATCCGGAGAAAAAAATTTCTGCTTGCTGGTAACAGTGAACTACAGAAATGAATGTCTTGATGGAGAAAATGAACTTTTGTCTGTAGTTTTCATTTTTTTTTTTTTTTTTTTTTTTTTTTAACATGAATTTTTTAACATTCCTTCAATTTGGTCAAACAGTCTCTTTTAAGTTGTTATTTGAGATAAGAGCTGGATGGATCCATGCTGCTCTGAATTCCTTGGTCAGTTTGACAGTTTTATTGGTTCCTGGAGAGGGATGTGTCTCTGTTTAGTGTTTGTGTGTGTGTTATTTGGTTCTTAGGGAGTGAGTGAGTATGATATGTGTAAGCGTGTATATTACTATGGGTGTGTGTTATCATTTGGCTCATTAGGGGAGTGAGTGAGTATGATGTGTAAGTGTGTATATATTGTGTGTGTGTGTGTGTGTATAAGTGTGAGGCCTCAACACCTCTGTAAGCATGTCTGTCTTGTGTGGGTGAGAAATGTGGGTAGGTTTTGATTTGTGAGGGTTATATATTAATACTATTTATATTGTTAAATTTATTTTTTAACCCGGCTGAATAGTGTGTTTTTTTAAACGTTGTATCCACTTATTTTCATGGAACTCTAAAATCTTTCTAATGTTATCTGCTCTGAACTTTTTCTATTCTCTCAATTATATGAATTTGGCAACAAAAAATCGTGTTTTTTAGGCGGAAATGTTGTTCTACAGGTAATAATTTTTTTTTCATGGGGAGTCGACTTAATTCGATTGCGATAATTATTAATTCTGTAGTGAAAGGGCCATTCAGATTTTCCTACATATTGTTTCTGGCACAGTGTGCATTCTAGGAGGTAAATTATGTTATGACTTTACAGTTAGAATCGTGGTATTAAAAAAAATGTGGTTGCAGCATAAACTGAATTTTTGTTGTTATAGGTTTTTTATCGAAAAATTTTTGTTTCTCCAGAAAAACAGAAAATCTGGGAAGATTTTTTTGTCTGTTTATTGATTATGGTTATCTATATGTAAATGTGTCAATATATTATATGTTCCCCTTCAGTAATATTGTTACGATTTATGGCAGCTTACGTACTATTAATTTTTTTTTAGGTCATTTTTGAGATTATTTATATTTCAAATGTCTGTATTGCAATGTATGTGTTTTGTATTTGTAAAAGGTAGTATTCTTTTTTTTAATGTATCAAGTTTGGAAGGTTTGTGATCATTGTCCCTGTAATGAGCTTTTAGCCGTATTTTTCTGAATTAAAACGATATGTCCTTTTGCCAAGGTGTCTTTATCAAACAATGGGGGCTTTTAAAATTTTTAGTCCATTATTTAATAACCTGAAAATTTGAGTAAAAATTTATTGTTACTTAAATTTATAACTCCCCTCAATATGGGTCAAATTTGAATTTGCAAAGCATGGTGAAGTTCTTTTATAAAAGCTTTTGAAAAAATTATGCATGTCTCCTATTAGGGATGCTATACCCACATCCAGGTGTCAATTGGTTGGGGGCTTATTTGCTTTTTTTTTTTTGAGTGTGTTTACTGTTAATTGTCTACTAGGGGCTAATCTGGGTGGTCTGGGATGTCTAATGGGGTTTGGCAATTTGTTCTGTAGAATTGCTGTGTTTTGTTTTGTATGTTAATACGGCATTTAAGGAAATTTAAATAATTAGTAATTTTTTTTTTAATGTAATTATTTGTTTGAAAGGATTAGCTATTAAAAATATTAATTAATGTTATAAAGGTTCATATATATATTGTGTCATATGTGTATATATATATATATATATATATATATATATATACATATATATATATATATTTTATATATATATATATATATATAGATAAATATTTACATAATATTTATACACATATATATATGTTTTGATATATATAAATTTAAATTTATTCAAACACACACACATATTACACACATTTAAAATTTTATACACATATATATATTATATATATATATATATATATATATATATATTAAAATTATAAAATTTACTCATTGATAATTGTTTGGAACGACTTAATTGGGGTGAGATGGGTAAAAAAAAAAAAAAAAAAAAAAAAATATAAATTAAAATTTTTTTGCTTATGATTTTAGCATCAAGAGACATACAATGAAATATGGGGTCGACCTGGTGGAGGAGCGCCACGTGACGCAAAATTAGGAAACAGAATGGCAAAACTTAATAATATGCTTTACAAAACATATTTTTGGATTGGTAAAAATCAAATTATATATATTATAATCGTACTCTGATACATCGTTCTATCTTGCTAAACATGTAAAGTGGAACAAACGAAAAGATTTGCACTTACACTTACACATAATATATAAAAATGTAACACAAAATAAATATGTGTGTGTGTGAATATATTAAAAAAAAATAATAGATAGATAGATATAAATAGATAGATATATAGATAGATAGATAGATAAAATGAAATCATAGATATATAGATAGCTATTAAAATTGATAGATAGATAGATAGATAGATAAATAAATAGATAGATAGATAGAAAAATAAAAAAATTAGATATAAATATAAAATTATAAAAGAAGTTGATAGAAGATAGATAGATAGATAGATAGATAAACATATATTTAAATGCAATTTATTTATATTTTTTATATTTTTCATATAAAACATATCTACTAAAATGTTTTTCAGGCTTTTAAAAAAAATAAATTGAAACACCTATTCTCCTACGATCACCAAAAAAGTATTAAAAGAAACGCCCAGCCTAGATCAGTATCTAGATGGGTGTATTTATTGAAATACCAGGGTTGTAATTTTAAAATGGTGTGGGATAAATAAAAATATTAATAACGGCTCAAAAAAAAAATTAAAAGATTGAGTTCCATCCAATCGGGTTCATTATATTCACTTACAAAAATCATTTTTGAGAAATGTATGAATCCAATTTACTTTTTTCCCCAGCTATGGATTTAATTAAAAGAAAATTCACTTTTCTTAAAAACGTATAATGTATAAAAAAGAAAAGATTTTAAAACAATCTAAAAATTAATTTCTGGCTTTAAATCATTGAAAAGGTTTGAACTTTTCATTTTAAAAAACGAATTAATATTTTCAGATACGTCGGCATACAAGGCGATATTTTGACCGTAAAAAATGTTCCCCAAAATAGACCGTCTTATACTCCAGGTATAAAGTGAGAATTTAAATCCAGTGCTTTATTGTAAATTGTTAGCATGGGAGATTTTTGACGGTAGACGAACTCCTGCCTCGCCTCCTTTTTTCGATGATGTTGAACAAAAACTCAACTGGATGTGTGTCTCAACAAGCCGTTTAAAGGTCGCATTCGAGAACAGTGTAACAAGTGGAGGATGGTTATAAAAGAAAAAATTCAAAGGCTAATTTAGTAGTTTCACCGAAACGCAGCACCCCCTCATGAGGTATTGTAGATTTTGGTAGTTAATTGACAATATCTCTCCACTGTTTTTTTTTTTTTTTTCATTAGAATTTGAGTGAAAAGAAAGAATATGCTTACTGATTTTATTTAATAATTTTTTTAAAATACGATTTGGGGTGGTCGTCTTGTATGACGTTTACAGCCCAAAACCTACATTTTCATTTGAAATTATGAGGGTCTTCTTATACGACTAGTCGCCTTGTACGCCAGCATATATGGTACACAATTATTTCGACACCGAAAACATAATGCATCAAATGTAACAGTTAATCTTACTATACGCAGAAGCATAAATGATTCTGTTGGGGTAGAGTATAAATCTATGCCGTTATTGATTAATAGATCTACGGAAAACCATTTGAAAAATAATAGAAATAGACACATTAACACTAGTATTTAATAAGTGATAGTCAAATAATTGCAAATTTTAAAAGTTTCAATAACTGATTGTGTAGTTAAGAATGACAAAACAGAAGTAGAGGGATATTATAAGGAATATTTTAATTCTTAATTAAAGGCTCCCATATATTTTATATTTCTGTTAAGCTTTAATAACTTCCTCAGTAGACCTAGCAAAGAAATGAGTAACATGTAGGAGACTTTAAGAAAAAAGAACGTTAGGCTAAGGGATAAAAATTCTACTACCTATAATACAAGTGTCAGTTGTAGAGGCAAACATGACTGGCCCGACCCGATCCTGTGTCCTTCTTCCGCTGATCAGTACTGCCGCCGGTCAACTGATAGTTATCTGCCTGCCGCTTCGTTCCTTTATCTGCTTCTGCCCCCCACGTTGTGTTTTTTGATCACACAGTAGTGAAGATCGATTTCGTCCGTACTCTAGCCTTGGGTCAAACCACGGCGAAACCGGGCTACAAAAGTACAAAGAACGGTTCCGGTGGTGAAAATAAACATGACATTACAAAATAACGAAGAAAGTCGCCGGGTTGATTTTCAATTGGTCTATATAGTTCTTGATACAACAAAATTAACATTTCCCGTTAAGATCTCTATCGTGACACTTTGTCTTTTTTTTTTTTTTTTTTTATAAAATTTGGAGCGGGTTCAAAAAAAAAAAAGAAAAATGTCGAGAATTCTCTGCGATTTCTCCTGGCTTCTGCGGCTTCTCCTTTTTAGGTCCCCTAAGTGACCGCTTATATCTATTTCTCCTACCGCACCCCATTAATATTCATATCAATTTATTATCTCTCCAATTTTGGAGAACCGATACTGGCCTTCAGACAAAGCGACCCGCGGTTGGTCACTTATTTAAAACAATAAATAACAAAATTGTTTTTATAAATTCTTTTCTATGTCCTTGACGTCAATCGCCCCAGATTCCAAATGACAAAATCGAGACATCATTTTGTTTTGATAAAATCTGGGTCACCATGCCTTGACATCAAAAACTTTCCTTTGTTCTTGACTTTTCAATATGACCAAAAAATCTTGCGTACTTTGCATGTTCAGTTTACAAAATCATATTTCAGATTGTTTACATTATCAGCTTGCAAATCATAACAATTTCATTTTTTTCGGCTAACAAGCAATTTACATTTTTCAGGTCATACTTTGGACCCAACATTCCATTCTGCTTTTTTGGTTATCAGAAAGGAAAAAAAAATCTATTTTTTTTTTTTACCTTGCTCCATATTTCAATTCATGTTTTCACCTAACCTTAGAACATATCAGTAAAAATCATTAATCTCTAAAGAAAAAAAATTCTTGAATTCTAAAAATGTTTTCTGGCTTTAAGTAACCTACAAAAGGTTGATAAGCCGTAAAAAAACAAATCAAGCAATCTAGCTTGAATAGCTGTCGAGCCTTATATTGGGAGTATTTTAATATACAAATGCTATCTAATATATAATAATATTTCTACTTATGAAGTTGCTTGACTAATCTGCTGAAAATAGGTAGATGGCATTTCCACTACCCAGCCCAGGGATTGAACTCACGACCCCAGGTAACTAAATTTAATTAACCAATACTTTTATTCCGCAGAAGATTTCAGTGATCGAACTTTGGAACCATAGACCTAATGTCATTTGTTTGGCTTTACAACGAGCTTTTGTCATATCAGGTCGAAACACCAGTTCCTGTACGATCGCCGAAGTTAAAAACAACGTCGAGCCTTATCAATACCTAGATGGGTGACCGCTTGGGAATATCAGCTGCAGTAAGCTTGGATGTGTGGGGTATAGTATAGCTGGCCGCTCATATTCGAGGATACCTGTCTACTAGGGCGGTCCATATAGCAATGCCAGGTTCTGTAAGCGTAGATGAGCGTGTGGTGTAGTGGATAATGGCTAGGAATTGGTAATCGAAAAACGGAGTTTCAATTCCAATCGAGTTCATTCTATTCACATACGTGCAAATACGCTTGGGAAAGGTATGAATCCACGTCTTCTCTCTCAGCTATGAGTTAATTTGTAGGACTTGTATCACTAAAATCATTGTTTCCAACAAATTCTACACAATCTAAAAATATTTTAATAGTATCTAAATAACATGCAAAAAGTTGATAAGCCTTAAAATAACATGCAAAAGGTTGAAAAACCTTACAATTCTCCAAATCCTATACGGGGTTTTAAAATGAACCCTTTTAATCCTGTTATATAGGTATAAAGTGCCGCTGCCGATACTTGAGTTTGAACATAGATCGCCAGTGAGCAGACACAGGCGGAATTAGATCATGTGACTATAGAGGCAACCCATCAGTAGGAAGTCGCGTGACATCTAAACGATCGCTACTTCTATTCTATCATCTGTTACTATATGGACCGCTATTCTCTACTTTATTCACTATACTATTTCTATATTCAGATCATTATACAGGTTACTTGCCGAACGAGTATTATCGAGTAAGTACTATTAGTGAGAGTGATATTCGAAGGCGTCTGACACCAGTATTATTCAACGGCGTTATTATAGTTGTATCTGCGATTACAAAGTCTCTACTACAACGAGCATTACGAAAGTGACAACGAGTATTTGTTGGCATCAGAAAATTATCAAACGAGTGTTCGTTGACATCACAAAAATCCTTTTGATACTACCAGTGTCACATTAAACTTTTCAACTACAACCAGTGACACTTTATAGTGTTACAGATTGATATGTTTTTTAAGGCTTATCAACCTTTTGCATGTTATTTAAATACTATTAAAATATTTTTAGATTGTATGAATTTGTTGGAGACAATAATGATTTTAGTGATACAAGTCCATAGCTAAGGGAGAAGGCGTGTATTCATACCTTTCCCAAGCGTATTTGCACGTATGTGAATAGAATGAACTCGATTGGAATTGGAACTCCGTTCTTCGATTTCCAATTCCTAGCCATTATCCACTACACCACACGCTCATCTACGCTTACAGAACCTGGCATTGCTATATGGACCGCCCTAGTAGACAGGTATCCTCGAATATGAGCGGCCAGCTATACTATACCCCACACATCCAAGCTTACTGCAGCTGATATTCCCAAGCGGTCACCCATCTAGGTATTGATAAGGCCCGACGTTGCTTAACTTCGGTGATCGTACGAGAACCGGTGTTTCAACGTGATGTGGTTGTAAGCAACTCTTATCGGAGAAAATGTGGAAATAATAATAACGAAGAGGTTCACTGAAGGAAAGTTAAATAAAGGTGATAGATTTTTAACTCAGTTGTTTTTTTCTTTTTGTTTTGTTTTTTGGAGTTTTTTTTTTGTTTTTTGTTTTTTCCTAGTTGCATTATCGCCTTGCCTGGGGTGAAATGATGAAAAAAAAAAAAAAAAAGAAAACAAAAAAAAAAGAAAACAACAACGATCAATAATTTGCATCACAGGGATAAAATGACACAGTAATCAGCAGATATTGATATGGGAAATGTTAATATAATTACAGAAAAAAACAAAACATCACACTTATTATAAAACCCAGGTTCTGTCTGTGTGTGTGTGTGTGTGTGTGTGTGTGTGTGTGTGTGTGTGTGTGTGTGTGTGTGTGTGTTCATTTTATATATGGGATCGATTTTCCAACATTTTCAACCGATTTCAACAAAACTTCACAGGACTACGTAAAATTACCTTGCAGTGGTTCTGACAGCGCCAAAAATTGGAAAAGCACAATTGTTTTTGCACGAAATCAATTTGAAAACACGATTAAGAGGCATCGCTTTCGCGGAATGAAAGGGGGACAACTCATATCGAATTATACTTGTTATAAAACCCAGGTTGTTTGTGTGTGTGTGTGTGTGTTCGTTTATATATGGGATTGGATTTCCTACATTTTTCAACCGATTTCAACAAAACTTAACTTTTTTTTGACAGGTAGTGTTTCTTATTGTCTTTTTTCTTTATTTTTACATTCAGAATGCTTTAAAAATTCCATTTACAAGAGAAATGTTTATAATAAAATTCTATTCAATCGGTAGACTGATAACGATTGAAAACAATGTTTTTGTTTGAGTTTGGGTTTGACCAATTCGTAAAAAAAAACAAAAAAACAAATAAAAATCAAATTAAGACATGCGTGTCCGTCAATCTTAAACAATAATCTTTGTCAATTTTATTTTTCAGTCTTTATGATGGCCGATACTTGATCTATCTCTTACTGTTACATCCCCGGGCAATGCCGCGCTCTACTGCTAGTCTAATGATGACAAAAATTAACCATTTTTCCTCAGAGTGATATATTTGTATCGACTTTACACCCTCATGCAATGGCAGGGATTATAAAATTAACTTTAAATTAACAGATGTTCTTTAATTTCCAGGATATCAATAATCTATCGTCGGCAGAAAACCAAGAACAACGAATATCTCCATCAGTTCGGTATAGCACCCACCAAAATTATTACGACTATCCAAACAATGTGAAAGATTTCAAGGTATATGAAGAGTTTTGCTATTTTTACATATAAAGCTTCGCCTTGTTAATCCTGTGTATGACGATAGACTACATCCGGCAGCAATGCCTCTGAACGGGAAATTGGAGGTTTTCAGGAGCGTGGAACCACCTCATAATTGCTGTTGTTCTCAGGCCCACCGTAACCCGAGGTGGTAGCACCTGTTAGGGTCCCAGCTATGGGCAAATAGTGAACCCTCAAACAAAAACAAAACACTATGAAAGCATAAAAATACATATTTATAGAAATGCCAACAATACATTTTTATATAAAAGGACCAACAATATATACTTTTAGTAAAATGACCAATACTACATTTTAAAACAAAATAACCAGCAGTACATTTTAGCTGTATACAAAATATATTTACTTAAAACCATAAAATTGTCTTCAGATTACTTAGATTTCGTCATTACATAACCCATAGAGGTGTTGATATGTCGTTAAACAAAGCCAACCAAACAGCCAACATGAAAGAATTTTCGTAACATCAATCCTTAAATCAAACTGTATTCTAAAATATAACTTCAACAAAACTACAACATAAAACACACATATCACCGCCTCTAGTAATTATGTTCACGCAAACATTTATATGCAAAAAAGCTAAGTATCATCTACCATGTATTCAATTGTGAAAACAGAATAACATATATCCTATTTTTATTACTTCCAAGCTCTCAAGAAAATTACATTTCGGCATTAAATGGCCCATAAGGTTTTGATATGCCGTTAAAGAAGCAAATAAACTTAGCCTTGTTAAGAATCTAAAAGAAAATATATCAGTAATATAAAATAGTCTATTAACAAAAGTAAAACATTTTGTTATATGTAAGCTAATTTTATTATTTTGTCAGTTGCTTTGTTGGTTTTGTAGCAAAAGAGTGAACACATACATAAAAAGATCTCGACTCTGATTCAAACCAAACTAATATTTTCTTTATTAAGACTTTTGAATACACACGCGGCTAGACTTTTAATTCTTTTTAAAGTCGTGTCCTCCGATCCTGTAGTGTGTGTCATATCGGTAACCTTCTAGAAAACATGAAAAAATAATGAGAACAATCAATCCCAGTGAATTTAATAAGGCTTTCGGTTCCAAATTTCGAGAATGTTACTGAATACATATTTATAGAAAATACCAACAGACCACCTGAAAAAGGCAGGAAAATAGAACGGACAAAATTAACATGTTGGTCCGAATAGATAAATATATAATATTAATATAGCTTTCTATTCGATTGTTTGAAGGATGATTCATACGTGCTAATATTTTTGTTTATTTGTATATATATATATAAGCATACAGTGGCGGATTGGTCAGGGTGTCAGCTTGCTCGATGGTAAGTGCCCCACCCCCGATGGAGTAGCCTCCCTATATAAAATAAAAAGGCAATCTAGAAACAAACACAGACAACTGTTTTAGTAAATAAAAGGAATAAAAACTTCATAGTCGTTTACACACTATCAGTTCCCCAAGAGAGGACAATTTCAAAGCTAAAGATCATAAAGACAAGTTTAAGAAATTCGCTGTCTGAGGAGAATTTGGAATCAAATATATATTGCTATTTATTGAAAAGAAATTGTTAGATTAGTGTTTATCAACTTTTTTAAGTAAAGGCACACCTGAGGTCAAATGAAAATGTGACGGCACACTTAGCAACATTTTCAAAGGGTATACATTTAAATGTTATAAAAAAGCATAGATTTTTTTAAAAAAATACCCAATTATGAATTTACTTTATTTCAATGTTTCTATTCAACTATTTGGTCATCTTATTTAGTGTGAAACTTGTGCCTGGTGTTTTTTTCACAAATTCTTTAATTTTTGATGAGCAGACCCTCATTTCTTTAATATGCGATAAGCAGACCCTCATTTCTTTAATATGCGATGAGCAGTCCCTCATTTCTTTAATATGCGATGAGCAGTCCCTCATTTCTTTAATATGCGATGAGCAGACCCTCATTTCTTTAATATGCGATAAGCTGACCCTCATTTCTTTAATATGCGATAAGCAGACTCATTTCTTTAATATGCGATAAGCAGACTCTCATTTCTTTAATATGCGATGAGCAGTCCCTCATTTCTTTAATATGCGATGAGTAGACCCTCATTTCTTTAATATGCGATAAGCAAACCCTCATTTCTTTAATATGCGATGAGCAGTCCCTCATTTCTTTAATACGCGATAAGCAGACTCTCATTTCTTTAATATGCGATGAGCAGTCCCTCATTTCTTTAATATGCGATGAGCAGACCCTCATTTCTTTAATATGCGATGAGCAGACTCTCATTTCTTTAATATGCGATAAGCAGACCCTCATTTCTTTAATATGCGATAAGCAGACTCTCATTTCTTTAATATGCGATGAGCAGTCCCTCATTTCTTTAATATGCGATGAGCAGACCCTCATTTCTTTAATATGCGATGAGCAGTCCCTCATTTCTTTAATATGGGATGAGCAGACCCTCATTTCTTTAATATGCAATGAGCAGTCCCTCATTTCTTTAATATGCGATAAGCAGACTCTCATTTCTTTAATATGCGATGAGCAGACTCTCATTTCTTTAATATGCGATGAGCAGTCCCTCATTTCTTTAATAGCAGACCCGATGATGCGATACCCTCATTTTCTTTAATATGCGATAAGCTGACCCTCATTTCTTTAATATGCGATAAGCAGACTCATTTCTTTAATATGCGATAAGCAGACTCTCATTTCTTTAATATGCGATGAGCAGTCCCTCATTTCTTCAGTTGAGGGTAGTCTTTCTCGCTTCTTCTTATTTTTGAGGTTACTTAGGGTTAAGAAGCTTAATTCAAATAAATAAGATGTTCTTTTTTGAAAAAACGTTTTAGCTAATATGAGATATTCCTTTTGTATTCAAATCCAAAATGTATCAATGTTTTATTTTGAGCCCTCGATCACTAGAAATGGTGGCCAGTTCTCCTTCACATAACTCTAATATTAGAAAGAACATTTATGAAGGAGTTTCGAATCTAATAATACTTTCGTGACCCATTTCAAAGGATCTCACGGCATACTAGTACTTGAGAATCACTGTTAGATGAATTGGAGGCAGAATCAATTAGGGGCAGATTCGCAAAATCATCTACCAAACACAAACGATTGCTCTTAATATAATAGGCTGCATGCTCTATTGTAATTTTGAACTATCTTTTACAGTGTAATTTCCGGAGTAACCTATTTAAAAAATATTAACCAATCACTTAACATTAAAATAAATTATAACATTCTCTATCTACGGCCAGACATATAGTGATTTTCTAAGCATAGCTTAGATGTGGCACAAGGTACCCAACTACTTATAATATGGTTATTTTCTAAATGTAGCTTAGGTGTGGCACAAGGCCGAAAGTATGGTACACCTAGTGAGGATCGAATTCACTTTTCAGTCGTAACTGATCTAACGAGACAAGCTTTCTAACCATTACACCACGCCGAGATACCCAACTACTTATCATATGGTTATTTTCAAAGCGTAGCTTAGGTGTGGCACAAGGCCAAAAATATGGGGCACCTAGTGAGGATCGAACTCACTTTTCAGTCGTAACTGATCTAACGAGACAAGTTTGATAACCATTACACCACGCCGAGGTGCCCAGAATACGGTCATTTTCTAAGCGTAGCTTAGATGTGGCACAAGACCGAAAGTATGGAG